AGTAGAATGTTGAATGCTTCGTTCAATTGCTACCTTTCTAACTTCGTCGGACGATAGAGACGAAATGGATGATTACATTTATTGGAAAATATGTGAGACGAATGAAAGCTCCGATTATTTCACTTGCATTGATTTTATATGTATCATGAGACGACCTCTTGGATAGGTAACACGCGCCACATGCTACTGCATTGCTTTGACAAATGTTGCTCACCACTGGAATTTTACAGTGTGTATGATGTCCACTCGGTTCATCAGAGCGAATCAGTGTGCACATCAGTCCTGTCGAATAAGCATGCTTCAGTTCTCGCGGTATGGGACACAAGGAACTTTTGCTCGTTTTGAAACGAGTATGCCTATTAAGACGTATGAATGGTGTGAGGTAGATAAACGCAGGCAATATAGGTTCGAGTCAACGTCTAACCGTTTTTGATTGGTTAGGTGCAATATCAAAAATTGGGGGTAGGGACAATGTTTGATCACCGGCGCATTTTCCACCGTGCCTTTCTTTCAAATGCCACTAACAGTTTTTATGTCGATACCGAGGGCCATATCTCCCAGGGCGTATGCTGCATCATCGCTACAGTTGATATGTACGTACAACCATGAATTTCTTCAAACTTCAACCACACCTCGCCTCGACTGTCAAACAGCTTATCAAGGATTGCCTCATCTACTGCATACAGTCTGGCGGGCAAAGGAAAACCTGCTACGGGTGGGGCCTCCTTCTTTCTTTGTCACATGTCTCACTTGCTCCACTCCCCATCCCCGTTACTATACTTCTTTCTATACTTTCTAGCTTAATAGACAGCAACCACAGTGCCCCTGCAGTCTTGACATCTGCATCTATTTTTCCGCACTACCCATTGGACACTTGTCACCAAAAGCTCCTTATAAGGCCACACTGTCCTGTTTCCCTGGCAGAGTTCAACGTCTGTACTCCAAGACAAATAGGTCAACGGGCTGCTCACGCAAGTACTTTGGACACACAGGGGATTGACGCATGTAGCATATCAGAGCCTTGAATCAATGACCGTCACGTGGTTGTTTAATTAACTGTGTCCGGCTTGTGCTCTCGCTATTGGTTGCATGCATCCGGGGGCGCTGCTGCAGCAACCACCGGCAAAGTTGATGTAGGCATTGTGCACAGCTCTAAGTCTGAGTGCTCGTTGGTTAATTGGATTTCCGTGAGCAGCCGCTCGAGTGCAGACCGTGTAACGACATTAACTAAGTTTGATTCACAAACTAATAGAATACGCTTTTTGTTTGTAGTTTCCGTTTAAGCCCCCACCGACTGCAGTTCTGATGCTGCCAAGCACCCCTTCTACGACGAAATGAGAAGGTTGATTCTCAATGCTACCAGTTCAAATATCGTTGTTGTTGCGGTGGGTATGAATACGCAATTACTTCGTCTGGGCTCTTGAAAAGCTCAGATAGATAGCAAGTATGGGCTTAATCCAAACGGACTGACAACCGTGAGCGTGTGTTGCAACTGTGTGCAGAACACCGGCTGTTTCTTAGTAGGATCGCTTTTGGACACAGTGGACGCCGAATTGCCACTTGGCATCCTCTTCTAGCTGACCACAAATAGAGCCAGATAGATCACATTGCCCTAAGTCAGACGTGGCGTGATTCCATGCTGGATTGCCGCTGCTTCTGGAGTACTTGCGTCGACTCTGATCTTGCCTCGGTACACTGACGTTTTTCCCCGATCTTCACCGAGAGGCGTACCAGGCGTCTCTCCGGATTGGCAACTGAGAAATTATTCCCGGCCCTCGTTTAGACAAGCCGAACAGAATTCCCTGCTTACCGAACTTTCGCCTCCTTGTCCTACTTACACTGCTTATCAGTCGAATAGGATTTTGGCAGACATGCACGACGCATGATCATATGCTTGTGATACTATCAATCGCCACCACCGTACCAATCGTTGTGTATCCGAGTGGTTGGTTAACCTGTTGGAATCCTGAATTAAACTCTGGGCTGGCGCTTATCACTATGTGACTAGCGGACTATTATGCGCAAAATAAAGCCGCGCTTGCATGCTGACTAGGATGCTTTGTTGACCAATCGGGTTCAAGAAATTGTTGCGAGGGTAGCAATGAGCTATTATGACAAGCTTGTCCGCAGCACTAGTCCCAGAAAATCCGGCTTCAGTGAGTTAAACAGAGCCAGCGTGGTTGACATAGTTCACAATAAGAAGTGCCGTGTAGCTGGTTGGACAGATCATTTCCTAGATAAATTCATCTGGTCCCCTGCTTCCTTACCTCATCCTACCCAGTTGGTGCCGAATGAACCATGGCCAGTTACTTAAATGGATCTTTGGAGGCTGAGGTCCGAAATGGAATCACAGCTCTGGATCATTTTCGTGCTTCTGGCCCGGATTGCTTCTCACCTGCACAGATTTAGGATGGTGGTAACGCTCTCTGCAAAGCACTGACCTCTTTGGTTGAATATGTTTAAAGGAAGCGACGATTCCAGCCAACTGGCGTGAATCAATTACTTTGTCGATATACCAGCAAGGTAGTCGCACCAACTGTTCTAACCGCAGGGATTTTAGTTTAACGCGAGTGATGACAATATTAGTGGCCTGAATTATCGTTTGTTGCCTCACTGCGGAAAGGGTAAGTTTCCGCCCTGGACGGGGCTTCAAATACTGTATATCCCTTTGCGGCAGATGCTAGAGCAGCCACACATAATCTGCAGACCGACAACAGCTGTGCTGCTCGATTTTAAGAGTGCGCTCGACTCAGTTGACGAGGTATTTTGTTCGAAATACTTTCGCCTTGAAATAATTGAACATTTTACGTGCTCTATACATGGACACAACAGGTCACGTCAGCGTCTACGGTGACATAACGGACATCTGTCAACAAGTGGCGTTCGTGCGGGTGGCCCGATTTCCTCAGTTTTGTTCAGCTTTCTCGTTGACTACACCATGGATCGTTCCCTTGAGGAATCTTACGATGCAGAGGTTGACATGCTTCCTTTTGAATTTCTAGTTGTTCTTTTTCGGACGATTTCGTCTTGCTTTTTCACGATGTTATGGCGGCATAATCAATCCTGAATAACTTCTCTAGAGTAGTCCCATCATTTGGTATGCGCTTCGCAAATTCAAAGTGCAAAGCGTTTCTACAGAACCACCAGCAGCTTTGCCACGTCTTGATAGTGACGTACTGGAGGTAGTTGATCAACTCACCTTGGCACGTGCGTCCGCAACGATGCAAGCGTAATCGCTAAAGTCAGTTCAGGTATTGCAAATGCCAGAACTGCCTGCTTGAATCCGAGACACATTTGGCGACGTCGTTATGGTTGTATGGCAGTGAAGCACCTGTTCAAATGGCTAATGTACTGCTGGAGATGCCTACGTGGTTAGTTTCTTGCATTCTGGGAGTTGGCTTTTAATTGATATACCCGGTGTTGGCGCACTTGATGTAAATATTGACAAGCTGCCTATCCCAAAGAATGATGCGGGCCAACTAGATTATAGTACTTTCTATTCTAGCAATTGACTGAAGTCTGGTACAATGCAACCTAGCACCACTCGTTGTGAGAAGTGGTTTATCTTCTCTCATGTATACCAGTATTCCGCCATAGGTTAGGCGAGTTCATGGGATTTCCGAATCCTTCACTATAGGTTGTGCGATGTGTCCTTATAATTACTGAGTTTATTCCTCTTGAGACATTCTAATAGTACGGATGGCGGAGTCCGAAGTAATCTCATTTCATAGCAAAATATAACCTATGCATTATATAATATTTTGTGGCACAATAGCCGGCTGGTAGCTCAACAGAACGATACCCATAGGCTACTAGTAGCTAAGCTTGCACGCATCTGTTGCATTTTTTCGTATTTCTCTTATGTTTTGCGGCACAATAGCTGACGTGTTTTAAACCTCTAGCTGACGTGTATAATGATGATGATGGAGTCCGAAGCCGTTACATTTGATCGGGAATGGTAGGTATATATTCAATATACTGCGGATTGCCTGTTTGGCAGACAGCTGTTTGCGCATCGCGTAACTTTGTAGGTGCGGAGGAATGTCGTATATCGGTGCGATAAAGTTTTGTAAAAGACTGAGAAATCCGTCACCAAGTTAAGTTCACATTCATGGAAGTCTGACTGCGAAGCACTGGGACTGTAATCTTGTATTGGTTGACATCTTAACTCCTGGTTCATATCAACGAATCGGATGTTGGTTTGAACGTCGCTGCAGTCATAGAGCTGGTGCACTTAGGCCTGAGCTTGCGATAGGCGAGAATGTGTTGGTCAACTAATCCTCGTCCTCTGAAGTGGACGCAATTTACAGACGGTACCTGTAGTGGTCTGGGATGTTTCGTGACTATGTCTTGAGTTTAGAGGTCTTCACAAATGCACGGGTACTGTTACAATGATATTGTCGAACACAACCCGAACTGGAACGCACGCGATCTGATGCATGAGGCGACAACATAGGCATAATTCCTCAGATGTGAAAACTCTGTGTTTGGCTTAGCATTTCAAAGTGGGATGGAAGCAAAGGAGGACGATAACGATTTAAATGTTCAATTGCGACGAGATGCCGGTTCTTAGGGTAGAACAAGATAGTCAGTCGGATGGGAATTTAGCAAACTGCAATCGGTCACAGCAAAGAGAAGTCATCCGACTGCGTTGATTCCGTTGATGCCGTTCCATTAGATCTCTTACTGCTTTGCGCTCTTGCAGTGACATGTCCCGTCAGGAACACTAAATACCTGGTTCGATACCTCATATTACTATGCAGTCCTAATTGCCGGTGGACACTTCGCACACTTTATCTCCTTTCTCTTCCATATTGCGTGTTCCTTGAACAGTTTAAGCCATTGTTTTACACAGCGAATCCTCGAATTTGGGGGCCATCATTAATTCCCTATTGCGCTGCCATTTGGGCGCATCTATTCTGTTAAATCATTCGCTATTCCTTATCCGTTTTCCATGTGCGATTCACCTGTCACTGATAGATTTCGGTTCCCTGTTGCAGAGCAACGTCCCTATAAGTGTGAAAATTGTGGTACATCATTTTCTCGGAAGGCCACTATGCAAAGGCACTTCAGAAGTGTTCATTCAAGTAAGCATGCAACTGATCGTGACAGTTACTTTGTATCATTTGTGTTGTGTTACACTTGTTGATATCGGGCGGCTTTGGTGGTTTCAATCCTGCTGAAAGTTTTATTTGAGGCGCCATTTATCGATTCAGCCTGTTTCTGCCTGCTGAGTTACCCGATCCAGCCAGCGATCGCTCACTGGAGATGGCTCACTAGAGACTCAGGTAAGTGGCAATATCCGATTGAGGAGCGTTTGCTGGCGACGCCGGTACATTTGGGCACATTGTGTATGGGATGGAAGCACGCGTGAACACTTCTTGCCACGTTGCCCACCCTAACGTAAGACACTGAACGGATGCGTCTGCGTACCACCTGTTTCCTCAATATCGCAATACTGTTGACGAGCAACCGTATAACTGACTCGCCCCATGAAGAAGGCGTCTTTACTTCCTGCCACATTTTGGAGATTAATGTGATTAACTGACTGATGATAACTACGTCTCTATATTTGAACAGCTCCGAAGGAAGTCCGTCTGAGCCGGCAGCCTTAAATTGTCTTAGGTGTCGATTCGCAAGACAAACACGCTTCACTCGGCGGGTCAAGCGTGATGACCCAGGTTGAGCGGCTTGGTTCGCAGGGACTAGAAGTAGGCGGTGAGGGCCAATGGAACTGGGAATCGAAATGATCGGCCCATCGATCCAAGCTTCTCTGTACATTGAATGGAATTTAGCGGACCTTTCACCAGTTTGCAAAAATGGAGACCGGACCATTTGCTCCAACCACCGTGGAAACAGTCTCATTTGTGTCGCATCCAAACTGCTGGCTGCCGTACCCTTGCGGAGGCTCATTTGCGTACGGTACCAGCACCTGCGTGAAGGACAACCTGGATTTCGCCCTTGTCGCAGTTGCGTCGATCACATGTTTGCGATCCATCAGGTACTTGAACATCGCTATACGTTCAGTTAAACAACTACAGTCATATTCCGGGACCTTCGAGCTGCGTGTGACTCTGTTGACAGTGTGGCTTTTTGGGACTACCTACTGAACAAAGGAGTACCTGAGAAGTACATCAGCATTGTCCGTACCATTTACCATCAAACTTCGGGTCGCGTGCGAGTATACGGAGACATTTCACCCCCTTTCAGTATCACTAGCGGTTTTAGGCACAGTTGGCCAGCCTATCCATTCTTGTTCAACGTCGCCATGGACGAGATCCTAGATACTGCCCAGGATAACTCTGTCCTGCCGTGCTGAACTGCTCCTTGATGACCGCTTTCGGGACTTAGAATACGCTGATGATATGGCTGTGAGTTGCGAGTCCTCCTAAGGCGTCCAGCATGTGCTGTCCAGACTGCAGCGGTCCGCCTCCGAATTTGGGTTGACCTTTGCCCCTTCCAAATGTAAGTTCCTATTACAGGACTGACCAAGTGCGTGTCTTTCTCTCACCCTTTCAGGGCATGCCCTGGAAGTGGTCGACAAATGCATTTATCCTAGGAGTTGTCTTAGTATATCAGTTTGACAGGTGAAATCTCCCTGTGGGTCTCCATGGCTAAAGTCGATTTCTCTAAGCTTCGTCACATGTGGCTTAGTCGTGACCTTAGCCTCGCTCTCAAGGAATGAGTCTACAATGCTACGGTACGAGCGATCCTGCTGTACGGCAGTGAGGTTTGGTCCGTTCATAAAAGCGATGTTCAGCGGTTATCTGTCTTCGATCGCCGCGGTTTGCGAAGTATTGCTGGTGCTTGATGGCATCATCACATCAGTAATGAAGAAGTCCGTCTGCGAACCATCGGATCTAACGAACTCCTTTGACCGTTTAAAAGCATTATTTTAATTCGGAAGCTTCGATGGCTTGGTCCTGTGCTCCGCATGCCTACCCAGCGGCTTCCAAGACGAGACCTATTTGCGAGCACTGCGATTGCTTGGAAGCGACGAAAAGGAGGACAATGTAATGGTTAGATCCAGTGCAATAAGGCGCAAACGTTGAAGCCGGCTGTTGCTGGGCGTTCCCGACTCCCGGGTTAGGGAACAAAGGACCCCAAGTATATATGGTTGCAACCGCTGGAGAATATGACCATTGGCCGTACCCAATAGCGCACTTGCTTTGAACACTTCTACCCCAAATGTTGCTTTCCCGTTCAAGCTAT